GATTTTCCTGGCAAGCGAAGAAAATTCAAAGCAGACTACCAAAATTTACGACACATTCCGCACTGCCCTAGTTTAGTATTTGTGCTTGTCGGCATTAGGCCCCAGGCGTTAGTTATTGGGAATCCAACAAACAAACGGAAGAGCCTATTCAACATAAATAGAAAATTCAAGCAAGCAAATGTCATTATCAATTAATTAGAATTCTCACAGAAGTTGGACATACAGTCCATTTCAAAAGCCGCTGATTGTCACTGACGAGTGTTGCCACCTAGTTCATATTTGCTCTTGAATGAATGAAAAGAGAATAGAAGAACTAGCTCTTGGTGTTGACAGTTACAAAAGATAATTCTCAATTTGTGTACTTTTTAGCATTATTTATATACTTATTACATATCACAATCTAGGTTTTACTCGTTATATGCCAGCACTGCTTGAAAGTATTAGCTCATCAGTCTGATAGCTCGCTGAGTTGCTAGAGCCAAGGGTCATCGCTAACATGTTCGATTATCGCTGTCTAAATTCCAGTGCGCTCAATTTCCAATAGCGGAGCGCTGCCAATGTTGAATCATCTAAATATGTATGTACAGGAACTGGAAAAATAACGACCGAAAGCTGCGAAATTCAACGCCACTTAACTTCTGACATTGACGAATTGAGTCGTATAATAAAAGGAAAAGCAGCTTATCAAGATCCTAAAAAAAAAACACCCCAACCACCAGCATAAGAAACAAAATAATAAAGGACAATCTGCCTCAGGTAAAAGGACAACATCTGAAGGCAACCATAGAAAAGTATTAAAGGTGAGAGGCAAGGATAATTAGGTGCCCGGCAAGCAAGCCACACTTGACCCTCGGCCAAAAAATACAAAAAAGAGAGGGGAGAACATTTGAAAGGCAGTTGCCGGTAACGAACAAAATAACAAAGCAAGCAACACAGAAGATAGTGTCAGTTACCTGTATGCGTGAGACATGTGCATATGTGTTAGGGTATGCATGTTGTGTGTATGCTGTCTGCGCAGTGAAGCAGCAGAAGTCGCTGGCCGATGTGTAAAACAAACAGAGAAGAAAAACGGTTATAATAATTCAGCTGAACGCTGCTGCAAGAGCAACGGACAGTGTAATCCACCCTTTTACTGCTGCAGAGAAGCACATGCATACACACTCACACGCTCAAGCTCACATATATGTATGTATGTAAAGTGGTTTTAATTAGTGTAAAACGAGGGGTAAGGCAGAGCAAAAGTGCAATTGAAGTGCGTGCAAGAACTGAGCACACACTAATATGCAAAAACAAAAAATTGAGCAGGGGCTTTGAAATTTGAGCGTGGCTTTAAATTCCAATTGGGCAGCAGGTGGCAGACGCTTGCCTTTACCTTTTTTTCCACTGAAAAAAAAAACTTCAGCCATTTTTTTAGTTTGATGCATAAAATTGTTGTTAAAATTTGAAGAGCTTACGCTTACAACTATTCACATTTTGGTCAACGCCCATGTGAGGGCAACAACAACAACATAATAACAACGCAAGCAGTAGCGCAGGTATTTGAGCAAACATTTTGGGCGGGTCACCGTTACGAGGCGCTATGGCCAGCACTCACCTGTTTTATGAATTGATGTGTGCTCGAGCAATGCTGAAAATCGGGCGCATTATTTGTAATAACAAAAGCAACACAAAATATATAACTTTTAACTTAAATGTTAAATTAATGAAACACAAAACCAACAGCACGACGCACGCACACACGACCCCGCAACGCGATGACTTATGCTAGTGACGTGCAAACAGAAACTGAAGTTGGTTATCGCACCACACCCCTAACTATCGCATGCCATGGTTTCACAAATCTATCGATCTTGATGGTTACGGTTATTATTTTAAATCCAATAAATATACGATTACTAATAATTTAAAAAGGAAATATTTACTAAAGTTTTTAAGTTTTCAGGCTGTAAAAAAAATTCAATGACAATTGCAACTGTTTGATGATATAGCCAATGTTTTGTTTTATTAATATAAAGGTAGTTTCCAACAGAAATTATAATTATTTTAAATGATGTAAAATATTTGTATTTAACTTATATTGAAATATTTTTATTTCCTTTTTGAACGAAATATTCGAAACTATCAAAAGCTATCGATATGCAGCATCAGTGCTGGTAAACGATAGATAAACCGAGCTCAGTATTTTTTAAGGGCAAATTGTGTGACCAAACTTGAACGAGCAATAAATGCCCACCATTTCAGGAGTGTGTGTGTGTATTGTATGCGTGTGATGTAAGGTCATTCGCGTGAAAATATCAGCGAGGAAAAAATCGAATTTTTGTGTTTTGTGTGCTAGGTAAATTTAAAATGAGTGCAAAATTATGCAGCAAAAAGAAGTGCGGTTGTTAAATTAATTAAGTTTGTGTATGCTAATGTGCGGTGAGCTTGAGCACAATTGAAATTCTATGCCAAGTCAAAAATGATGAGGAAAAGCAGCAGCAGCAGAATACTCATACACTCGCACACACACATGCAAAAGCAGGCAAGCACGCACAGACACATATACTCATATATACATATACTTGAAAGCGGAGGAGCTTGAGCTAGAACCTAGAGTTGTCAACGCATTCCGAAGAATTTCGTCATTGAGAGTGTCGCGTATTGTGTATGTTTGTGTGTGTGTTTTGTGCGTGCCTTGATTGCATATGTGTATGTGTGTGTGTGTCGAGTTCTGGTAGTAAAACAAAAAAGAAAGAAAAGCAAGCTGCAAAAAAAGCCAATTGAAAAAGTGAATTCCATATAATTTGTTGAAAATATACGGCAGGTGTAATACAGCAGGCTACATCTGGCTAGATCAAATTCGCCAACGGTTGAAAAAAAGAAAAGCTATTACATAAATAGTACAAAGTGTAAATGTAAATGTTATTGAAAAGCGCAAGGCGAAGGCGCCGCCGCTACTGCTGCTGTGACCGTCGCGCACGCTGTCGTCATCGCGGCTAATAAGAAGAAGAAACAATGAAGAAATAGGAGAAAAAGTGGGAGCAGCTAGCAAAAAAAAAAAAAAAAAAAGAAAGAAATCCTGTAACTATATTTGCGCTCAATATACTCATTGCTTGCCGTTTCTCGATACATACAGACAGATTATATATACATATGTATATCTATATAGATATATATGTGTGTGCCTGCTTCTATCTCGTGACTTGAAAATGTTGAGTATATTGACTTCTCTGGTCACACAAATTAATATTGTGAAAATCAACTAATAATTGCTATTGAGTGTGGGCTGAAGCAGGGGACGCGCGGTTGGTCACACTATGTATCTGCATGTGTGTGTGGGTGTTGTGTATATATGTATGCGTGTGTGAGTGACCTCGTGTCGGTGTGTCGCGTGCTTGCGCCTGTGTATGTGTGTGTGCGGCAGCGGCAAGGAGTGTCATGCGTATTTTGCTGCCTCCCCCACGACCAACGCTTCGTATCAACAACAAGCTGAATATGCGCTGCTCCTTTGCTCCAACGAGTTTTATCTTGTTTTCCGTTTTAATCATATGCGGGTTCCGAGAGACAATCACGTCATCCAGCCTTATACACATATACACGCACGCACACTATAAAGTCATTTATGTTAACTTTAGAGCTGAGTCGAAGCTGTGTGTGTGTGGGTAGGCAGTTCATCAATTCTATTGTTATTAATATTGTTTTTTCTTCTCATTCATTTTGAGCTTAATCAATTCAATTAGCGTGTCCACATACCATATATGTACATACATACATATGTACATAAACATATATTCCTGTAGTTAAGTTCTTTCTTATCCTTAATGGGTAAAACTTTAGTGAAGAGTGACTTTGCTCAAATTCATATAATAATAATATTAAAGATGTCACAAAAATTATGTTAGCCGCTGATTAATAATTGGTCAGCAGCATCACATCATCGACTTTGTCAACTTTGTTTTTGTTCCCATTTTCGTAAGTCAGTTAGCTAGCGTGTGTGTTTGTATGGGTGAACAGTAAATAAACTATGACCGGGCCACTGAGTCATGGCTGTTCGATGACGTTATGCTGCGCTAAAAGACGATTTGTCTCGCAAGTGGTTCGAACTTTGCCAATAAAACTCAATTTATAAAAAAAAGGATATATCCTCTACGACTATCGCCAATCTACGCCGAGTTCGGCTGGCAATCGATAACATGCGATTATGACTATCTCGATCAGCAGGAGTTGCAAAATTGTTAAAAACCAAACTCTTTTTGTATAAAAGATGAATCTTATGCTCGCACACACACATACAGCGTTAATCAATATTAAGCTCGTCTGACAATCGATAATATGTGATTTGAGCTAACGCGTTCAGCAGAAGTTGCAAAATGTTTACCAAAAACAAACAAAAAACTATAACTTAATATTGTTATTGTATTAATGTGCGTTTGGCTTTATGTATGCGCGCGCGTCTTTTTTTTTTGTTTAGCTTAGCAGCTACCCAGCAAAAATCATGTTGAAACTGCTGCCAACCGCTTTCAAGCAGCTCATCAGTGCCACTGCCGTCGCTTCCCTCCACTCCCTGCAGACGTAGCCGTAGTCCCTCTTTGTCCATTGCTGTGATACGTGAACGTTCTAAGTTGTTGCCGACTTGTATGTTTGTATTAAAATACTGCAATGAGCTCTTTATCTTAATTATGTATGTATGTGTGTGTGTGTGTCAAAATATGTACTATGTATGAATATGTGTAGAATATGCGTATAAATTGTGACGGAAACATTTAGTGTGAATGCCGCCGCATGCACGTCGTTGCGGGGTAAACAAACTGCCGTTGCTCTGCAGCAGCTGCCGGCGTCTCAGTCGGCGTCGCTGCCTCGGCTTTTACTGATAACACTGCTGACAAACGAATTTCAATCTAAATGCAACAACAAAAACAATGAGCTAAGAACAAATCCGTACGACTTTTATCAGTCAGCCATGACGACGTCGCCGTCGTCGTTGGCCGAGTAAGCGTCAGCCTGTTATTTTTTGCTCTTTTCTTTTTTGCCTACTCGCTCGCTCGGTGTACAGCGGCCAGTTCAGTCTGCTCGCTGATTTCGTTGCGTTACGTTTACGCTTACGTTGCTGCTGTGTTCCATTCTGTTGTGTTCGGTGTTCGTTTTTTCGGTATTTCTTTTGGTCAGTGTCTAGTATTAGTTCGAGACACCATCCGTACGTTAATTTTTAAAAGTGTATGAAACTAAATAAAAATATACATATATTTATAAAATAAAAGAAGGAATAAATTACCAAATTTACTTGCCATAATTTGAGCTTTGACTCATTTCTGAGTGCGTTTGCTTTTGAGCATTTTGCATGGACGTCAATGTGGCATATTTCAATTTTTAGTTTGCTAGCCAAAAATTCCTCGACCCCCAGTTTCACTGCGTGCCTGTGCTTGAATGTGAATGTCTTTCTGTGCCTGCGTGCGTATATATATATATATGTGTGTGTGTATGAGAGAAAGAGTAAAAAGCTTTTGGCTACGCATGTAAATGAATAACGTCAAAAAAATTAACGCGACGAACATAAGAAATTAGCAAAGAAGGTGCAGCTGAATGCTACTTGTCTCTAGCCCCCTTTCCCTTCACAAGCCATTGCGCTGTTAGCACGTGTGCAGTATATAATGCTGACGTCGATAAAAAAAGAAAAAGAGAGACAGAAAGAGAGACAATGAGTATAGGAATTATATTTAGTTGAATTCCCGTTTAGTTTTTATGCTGTTGCTGCTGCTTTTTCACATCCTTGAGTTAGCTTCTCTTTCTCGCTTTCGCTCACGCACTTAAAGACGCCGCTGGCATTTCTCTGTTTGCTTTCGTTTTATTTTGAATTTATGTATTTTTAAATTTTGTGCAAGAAGCATAGAATTCAAAGTGAGCCAAACGAGAAAAAAGAAAAATATATAGGGAAAATAAAAATATATAAGATTGACAAAGAAACAATACGAAATAAAAGTTAAATTGTTTATATACAAAAAAGTAATCTTTTCTCTATATCCATAAAACAAAATAGCGACGAGAAATAAGAACAAAAGCTGGAGCTGGTTAAATAAAGAGAAAGAGCAAAAAGAGAAGAATCGTCAGAACAAAACACAAAAATAACAAACCAACCAACCAACAAACAACATCAACTAATATCAAATTTAATGTTAAGCATAATTAATAACAACAAATTAAAATCGTATAATTAAAGCTATACATAAAGTAATATTAATAATGATCTAGTAAGTTAATCATAAAGTACAAAAAAAAGAAGCATAAATATAAAAAAAAAGTAAATAATAAACAAGCAACAACAAAAATAATTAATCAATCAGCAAAGTTAGTTAATGCAAATTTAATATGCAAGCAATTTGAAACGACAACAACCAAAACAACAACCAACAGCCAATAAAATAATTACAACAATTCAACAACACAAGCAACAACAACACGGATCAATACCAAAGATGGAGGCAAAATTCTTGGCTAGCGCTCTTTCATTCCTCTCGATATTTTTAGCGGTTCATGCTCAATCATTTGGTAAGTAGACAACAACAACAACTACAATTACAATATACAACTATACAATAATTACCAATAAATTAAAAAATAAATAAAATTAAAAAAAAAACTAGCCAAGCAAGCCCTCCTGTATATGTATACATTTACATACATACATATATGTTACCCTATATTTAAGCTCTATATACATGTATGTTTGTCGTATACATTCTCTAACTGTATAAGTGTACATACAAAACTGCAGCAGAAATTGCAAACAATAACAAAACTACAAAAAATAAAGAGGAAAGGAAAAAAAATTAATAGTATGTTGTCTCCCTCGCCTTTTCACCCCGGCCCTAATTGCCTGGTGCCTGGCCGAACATATTTTTGTCTCTGTTCATTTTCAATACAGATATTTTTTTTCGCAACTCCCAGCTGAACTTTTGAGTGTGTTAAATGCAGTGCGAATGGGTTTTTTTTTTTTTTATGAATTTATTGGTACTATTCCAAATATATAGTTGATCCCTCGATTGAGCTTTCCATATTATATACAAATTTTAAAAATTTAATTTCTGTTTGAATAGTTGAAAGTTAAAATAAAAGTATTCTTATCTGTTGGCTAGTCTTACATTATGAAAATATGTCTTTTCCATATAGTTTCTAATCCAACAAATATTAGTATATAATATAAATAATATATAATAGTGTTTCGTTGTCAGGATTTTAAGTTAAAAGAGGAATATAATATAAAATGTAATACATTTTCCCTTGTTTTGTTGTCATTTATGATGTTAAAAGAATGATGCCAACAAAATAGAAAATAAATATAAAATTTTAAATTGTATAATATAATTCTTTCTAATATTTTCCGATTCCTAATTCAATTTTCAATTGGAATTCTCAAACTTGTTATAAAAATTCGAATGGACTTAGATTTTGGTTTTAGCTATTATAAATTGATGATAATATGAATATAATATCGAGCATATGTTGGCGTATTTCACGCATATGTGTTCCCTTTAATTTATTTTTAAACATTATTAGCGTTAATTAGAAACATATTGTTATAGATAGTATTACACTAATCATGATTTTTTGTTCATGAACAAAAGATGTTAGTGCTGAGGACACTCGAAGTTTTGGTTGTTGTTCTCATGATAATATTGCCCCAAAGTTCTGCTGGGTTTTTGCCACACACAAAGACACACACATATACGTCATAGAACATAACATAATACACACACATATATGTATATATACATATATTGAGCGAACACTTTCCTTTGGTTTTTATTTTCTCTTTTACAATGTAAGCACCACCCCTCGGCCCCTGTTCGCCTCCTATAGTATTCACCGCCCGCCCCTCTCTTAGAGGCCATCAGGTTTTCTTCTTGCCTTGTCCACTCGCCCGCTCTTTCACTCTCTCTCTCACACTTTCTCTCTCTCTATGTGTCGCCCGCTCTGTCTTTGTCTATCTTTTTGGCCTTTAGTTAAGTGTACTTGTGCTTCGATATTTTTGTGTTGCTTTTTATAGTTTATATTGTTGGTCGGGTTGGGTTTGGCTACTGAGACTGCGACTGCGGCTGGTCGACTATGTATGTGTTTCGCCACCTCTACCTCCTTCTCCTCCTGCTGCTGTACCTGTTCTCTGCCTCTTCTGCTACTATTGCTCATTTGATTTTCAATTTTCCACACAATTGCAAGAATGAAAAGAGAAATACGAAAAGAAACAACAAAAGCAACATCTAAAATATATTAGGTTCACGTTAGTATTTCAGTTTAAATCTCGTGATGTTTTTCTTCTATATTTTCCACAATCTTTATTTTAATTTTTTTTTTCGTTTTTACACGGTCGCCAGGTAAGCAGAGCGCCCCAGTCTTTGCCGGTTGCTCGCAGACAATGTCCGAATAGTTGTTTATATTAACTCATCGACCCGGTACTGGATACCCAATACTACACATGCTATGTACATGGTTGTATATAGTAAATGTATTATGCCTTATATACATACATGGTCTATGTACTGTGTACCGGCTGTATTGTTTACACCTACCTAGTTTTGGCCATCAAAAAGTTCTCTTTATAATAGCCTTTGCCTTGGCGCTCGACTCCAAACTATTTATTATTCTAAGCATATCTGTTCGATATCTATCTATATAGCTCTATATAACCCTAGCTATTGGCTACCTCCTTATGTATGTATTCCACAGTCAAGGGGTATTTCATTCGAGTCTTTGATTATTTTGTATTTCAATTCATTTGATTTTCTGAGCAGCATTCAAACTCTATAAATTTTGTTTCTATTAAAATGATTATTGTTTAAAAACAAAAGAAGGAATAAAAATCCACCAATGAAATATTTATTGAAGATTTCATTCAATTTGAATATCATTTCAATTCATAAGTAATTCAGTCAATAAAACAGAATTTATAAATGGATGAGAGAATACATTGATAGATCTTTAAAACCTTATAATTTATTTGTTTTGTTTTGTTTTTTTTTATGAATATAAATAAATCTTTATCTTTGTTTATTGGGTTAGTTTAGATACTATATATGATAAGGTACATTTTAATGAAAATATTTGAATGTTTTGGTTTATAGCTCGATCTCTTTATTTATATTAGGATCAAGTTTAATAAACATAAATATAACAAGTAAGAAGACTCTAGTCGAGACTGCTCGACTAGG